GGGGCTAGCCCCTGCTACTATTAATYCGTATCTTTCGGCGATTGCCTACGTTCATAAAGTTAAGGGATTATTTGACCCCACTAAATCGTTTTTAATAGAAAAGCTATTGGTTGCGGTGGGGCGTCGCACACAGGCCGACACGAGGCTCCCATTATTTCGACCRCTTTTGTATTCTTTAATTGTGGCTCTCAACCATACAAGTCCTTCTGGCTACCAACGAGCTCTTTATACCTCTATGTTTTTGTTAGCCTTTTACGTGTTCTTTAGGATTGGAGAATTAACGTGGAAACTGTCGAGACAATCGGCGAACACTCTTCAGCTTCAGAATGTTACATTCCTGGTACATGATAACCAAATTTGCTCAATTAAAATTGTCATAACAAAATTCAAACAKAATACCAATAATAGGCCTTTTACTATAATCATTGATCGGGAGTCGTCTGAGCCTCATTGCCCAGTTCAATGTCTGCWAGATTACTTGAAAGTACGAGRMTGTCAACAGGGGGAACTTTTCWCGTACCCAAATGGGGAACCAGTCACGGTGACTAAATTTAATACACAACTTCGCTCGGCTCTGAATTTCTGTGGACTAGATAGCTCACGCTACAAAGGTCACAGCTTTCGTATCGGTGCCGCATGCTATGCTGCAGAGAAAGGGATGTCAGATGCCCAAATTCGAATTCTCGGGCGGTGGAGCTCAGACGATTTCAAGGTTTACATCAGACCGCCTTCACTTAATGCAAATTAATTCAAGAATTTTCTTTTTCAATCTCCGTGTCTACGGTGGCTTCCCGCATTTGAGTCAGTCAGGGGCTGTCAGATGTTGGTTGTCACCTAGTCACAGGGAATGTTATATTCGACCATGATTCTTGTGTAGAGAGTTAATGAGCAACTTGGTCCTCAGGCCTTCATTTCTCTAAGTCAGTCGTGAGCTGTTAGACATCTGTTGTTCCTGGAGTCGTGTGACATATAATCAACGTTGATAACAGTTTGTATATGGGCCGGTTCGCACTAGGCCAATTTTTGTTTGTTTTGCCAAAAAAACTGTCATCGACTACAGGAAACTAATGCGAACGCGTTTGTTCGGCCTGGACAAACTTCGTCCAGYCGTACCAAACTTCAAAAACGCCGCTGGGCTGGTTTGGAGCCCRACAAAAGTAGGCCAAACGTCAAATCTGACAGGTTTGTCCATTAACACCCAGCATGACGACAGGCAAATGACCAAAAACCGCAGGAAATATTGTTCCTCGTGAGTCGACTGAAGGAGCTCTTATCGTCATGTCGTTCTACCCTTCTGCATACTATAACTTTTATGGCTC